TGTACATTGTACACATATGGCTTTTCGAGTAAGAAAACAAAAGGGGGTTACTTATTTTCGAAGAAGAGCAAGAGGAAATATAAATGGTTCGCAAGGGGTATAATTGATGACGAAATTTAAGTGGTCATATTCTATAAGAGGAAAGCCCCATGCTCTAGACAAGACAACCTCGTAGTCATCAGCACTCTCAGGCGACCACCCGATTTGTTTAGAGGCTACAGACTCTTTAATATTCCGACCACGAAGTCTATCTTGTTCAAATCGGTTAAGATTTTAATATACATCGTTCTAAATGAAGACTAAGAAGAGGTGTATTAAGTTTGGTTCGAATCGGTTCAGATTTAGATATAGCTCCTGTGTATATTCAGGTCCGATTTCAGGTAAATTGAGCACCAAAGGCTTTAGAGTTTTTCCAATTGCATCGAAATTTTGCACAGCATTCTGACATAGGTCTGGAGTGATGTATGTTAAGTTTTATTGAAATCGGTTCAGATTTAGATATAGCTCACATGTATATTATCGTCCGAATTCATGTAAATTGTGCACCAAATAGTCAATCCTCATCCGATTGCGATGAAATTTTGCACAGCCTATTGATTTAGAACTAAAATATGGTGTGTTAAGTTTTATTGAAATCGGTTCAGATATAAATACAGCTCCCATGTATATATTGATCAGATTTTATGTAAATTGGGCACGAAATAGTTAATGTTCGTCCGATTCTGACGAAATTTTGCATAGCGTACTGAATTAGGACTAGAATGATGTGTGTTAAGTTTTGTTCAAATCGGATCAGCACCAATTAGACAATGTTCTTCCGATTGCGATAGCGTGTGTTAAGATCTGTTGAAATCAGTTCAGATTTCGATATAGCTCCCATGTATATTTTCGTCCGATTTTATGTAAATTGGCCATCAAATATTTTAATGTTTGTCCGATTTCGATGAAATTTTGCATAGCGAACTGAATTTGGAGTAGACTGAGGTGTGTCAAGTTTTGCTCAAATCGGCTCAAATTTTGATATAGCTTCCATATATAATTCCCACTGATTTTATGTAAATTCTGCACCAAAGCCTCGAAATTTGCCCGATTGCGATGAAATTTTACTCATCCTTCTGAATTAGGACTAGAATGGGGTGAGTCAAATTTTGTTTAGATTTGAATATGGCACCCATATACTTTTTTATCCGATTTCATGTAAGTTGGACATTAATGCCACAAAATTTGTCCGATTCAGATGCCATTTTGCACATGTGTATCGACTAAGACTAGAATAATGTGTGTTCAATTTCGTTGAAATCGGTTCATATTGAAACATAGCTACCATATACATTTTATTCCGATTTCATGTAAATGGTGCAGCAACTAATGAACGTTCGACCGATTGCGACGAAATTTTGCACAGCATACCGAATTGAACCTACAAAAAAGGGGTATATTAAATTTTGTCCGAATCTGTTAATATTTAAATTGCTCCGATTCAATCGAAATTTTACACCGCGTACTAAATTGAGCCTAGAATGAGATATATTTAGTTTTATAGAAATCTATTATAATTGAAATATATCTACCATATATAATTTCCAACGATTTCATATAAATCAAAGATCAAAGATTGCCCGAGTGAGATGAAATTGTGCATAGATTACCATGTCACATTTGTAAGGCTTGATTGATGTCGATATAAAAATTCATAATTTTTCCTATCAAAGGCTTCACAGCAAAGATCAACCTCTGTCCGATGGGTAGGCTATTATGTTTCTCAAATAACCAATATCATTCGGAGAGCGTAACATTTTTTGTTTTGGCTTGGTTTAAATGGTTATGTATATTTTATGTAGGCTACAATGAGAAACTTAGGATCACCTCTTGTATATACCCAAAGTGGCGTAGGGTATCATATAGTCGGTTTTCGTTTTTCTAAGTTACAATGAGAATCTTAGGGGCATCTCTTATATATATCCAAAGTGGCGTAGGGTATCATTAGTCGGCTTCCGTCCGACTTTGTCCCTTTTCTTGCTATTTTATTAATAAAAAATTTTAGTAGTGTTGGCGGTTTATTTGGGATACCATTTGCATTTTGTTTTTGCAAAATAGTCAGGCTGAATCCTAGTTTTATTTGTATTTGTATAATGTATTTTCTTTCATTCCTCTTAACACACATAATTTATATTCTACAAAGCATTTCCTCGACTAATTTACACAGAATTTTGCGGTATTTCTTTAATATTACTATTAAATAATAAATTAAGATAAATATTAAATTAATTTTAAATAATATTTTACAATTTTAATCACGATTTTTCATCAAAAACGTACCTTATAATTATCAAATCCATTGAGATGTTCTTTACTTAGGTATTTATAATTCAACAGCTGTTGTAACAGAGTCATGATGCCGGCACAATAATAACAACACACACGACACTCACGGAGAGATAGGCAGAGGGAGAGAGTGAGATCACAACTTTTCACCCAAAAAGAAAATATGACAGGCAGTCGCAACAGCTACAAATAAATGATGAGAATTGATTGATTATCAGGGAGACAACGTGTGTGATAGAGAGAGAGAGCGGCTTAATAAAACCCAATGATTAGCGGCATAACAAGGCAAGCCATGCAACCAATCCAAGGCAGGCAAATCACAAGCACAAGGGATACCAACAACAAAACAAAATCAATTGGTGTTGTTGTTGTGTCTCTTGTCTTGCTTTCTTTTGCAAATGTATTTGTGTTAAATGCTGCGCCGCTCTGCCCTGTTGTGTGTGAAACAGGAGGAAAAGAATTAAAATGTTAGGGGTTTATGTTTGTTTGTTGTTGTTATTGTTTGTCTGCCTGTCTGTGCTTGGTTGGATATGTTGATGGTTTAGTTTTGTTGTTGTTGTTTTAGTTTAAACTTTAATTGAATTTAATTAAAAAGAACGAGAATTAGTTTCAAAAAAATGAAGGGGGATTTTTGTATGTGAATTAAATAAAACAACACCAAAAAATCAAGGTTTTATTGTTGTTGTTACGGCTTTGACATAACTTGTAGTGGCGCGGCATTAAAATGTCATTGTGATATGAATGATAATAAAAATAAATAAAACATGATAATAAGATACATGCCGCCGACTACCATAGAGGAAGGAGGAGGGGGAGACGAAAAAAGTGTGTGTGCAAAATTAACAAAAACAACACAAAAAAACACGCGCCTTAGTAGCCAGTAGTCATAGAAAAATCACAAGAAAAACATATTTGAAAAACTATAGCGGCGACATGTGGTGGGCATGTACAAACACGCACAACTAAACACACAGAAAAATAATAAAATACGCCCACGCACAAAGGGCACAAACGTAAGACCGGGATTAGTGGGCAACCGGAGCAAGCAGGCAGTCAGACAGGACGAGAAAGAAGAGGCAGAGGAGACAAACACGTCATGAGATTCTTTTTCTGCTTTGCGTGGTTTTATATTTGTCGGGATCGGGATCGGTGTTGAGAGTTTCTCTCCCTCTCAGTGGTAAATTGTGAATTGTGTTGGAAAACATTAACACAGGAACAAAAAAGTAAGAAAAGGTACCTAAAATTCTACTTCAAATGATAATAAATCATAATTACCGAGAAATATTGGTCAATATTTATACCTGTTATATGCGTTAATATATGTTATAATTTAAGCGTAAATGTATTCACGAATAATAAAAAAATCTAATTTTTGTTTTGGTACGTTTATGTCAATTCGTACCTGTTGTGAACAAAAAGTACGCTTGTTACAAAATTAAAAATAGCGCAACTCTAATTACTCTCTCAAGGGAGAGAAACTCTCAACACCGATCCCGATCCCGACAAATATAAAACCACGCTTTCAAAGATATTGGATATAACAAGCTTGCCAAATGCCTGCTTGCTAGCTGTTTCACACAAAATAAAGCACGCACAAACGAAGGCAAGCAAAGACAAACTGAATTTTTTCGTTATTGTTGTTTGGTTTTTTTCCTTCACAATTTATTTTTATTTAAAATGCGGAAGTTTTTGCTTTTCACACGGCAAAATTTTGAAACACTGGGCTGCCAAAAAAAATAAAATATTGATTTTTTTGCAATTTGTTCACACACACAACAGCCTTATTTTGGCAATTTAATTTTGAAACACTTTTTTTCTTATTAAAAATAATTCTCAATATTTTTCCATTTACTTTTTGTATTAGCTCGTATTTGTAATAATTTATATAAGCATTTTTATTTATAAAATGTATTATTTTTTGTCAATTTATCGTTTGCCGAATTGAAAATTGAAAAAAAGAAAAATACTTTCTAGCGACAGCAAATAACCCTCCCTCTGAGGTTGGTACGGCGTTGACTGAGCTCAAAATTCTTGCTCTCTCTTTTTCTTTTTGACAACAAACGAAAAAAGGAGAGGGTTGCCAGTGCAAAGCAATTGTGGCACTAATCGATTTGTTATGTTATCGAAAAACTCATGAACAGAAATAGAGATGCCAGAAAATTAAAAAGAGGAACCAAAAAAATATTTTTTAATAAATCCACGCCTGGTGTAGAAGTCCAAAATTATTTTTTTATCCAAATTACGCCTTTACATTTAAAAAAAGCGACTGTGTCTTGCCTTTTCATCATTAATCGAATAGTTTGCCCACTAAAACTGTTATCGATAAATAATATGTTTGTAACAGGGTGATTCAGAGAAAACAAATTTAATTTAACAAAAATGAAAAACAGCAACGTTACGATTTGAATTTGCTGAATTTTTTGGTTTAATGCACTCCTTTCCCTTCTTGGGTTCCGCAAATTAAATATATTAAAAATTCGGAGGACCCACATATATTCCTTTCAATTTATTCGATTATTTTTTTTCAATTTGCTTGAAAATATTCCAGTAATTCTATAACACCAAAAGCCATTAAATAGCCGAATAATGTCGGACCCAGCCCAGCAAGGATCTGCAATTTATATTCATTCGGATTTTTTTTTAATAAATATTAAAAATTATACCCAAATATTTACCATATCTTTGGATCTCAAATTACCCCAACCGGCAGCAAAACAATTTGAAACACTGCTAATCGGCAGCACGAAGGCTAAATTGGATGCCAAACTCACTGCCAAGGCCAAATAGATATTTTCGGTATTGGGCTGTAAGGAAAATTTGGAAAAATAGGAAAACCTCAGCGGCAAATAGGAACGTGATGGAACTAGTATTCTGGTATTTGAGATCCTGTCGGGATGCAACATTTTCAATTTATTCCTTTGCACTCCGGCAAGTTACCCCCGTCGCCACCTTCTTCTACTCACCTGCCTGAGCATCACTTGCACCATCATGACCCTTGCCACCAAATGATTTGCCCCAAGCGTACTCAGAAGAATCGTTACAGCCATTAGGCCCATTAGATGTAAGGTAATATTATTATTTGTAGCCACCAAATGATCCATTAAATATCGCTGCAAACCAGATTTCTCAAGACCCATGCCATATGCCAAGCTGCTACCATATACCAAGAAATAATTCCAGGGCATTAATTTCGGTATTACCGACCAGGGTAATATGCTGGGTGACATTTTATACTGCTTGGGTTCTGTAATGGCGAAAATGGAAAATCGGATTACAAATATTCGGAAATAAAGTTTTTCTTACCACGGCAAAGGAAATAATTTAAATGCGAACAGGAGTTAGGGCAGATAAAGGCCAATAGGCATATCAGCATTACAATTGTGGAATATTTTATGAGACTGTGGAGAAGAAAAATGAGGTTAGGTTTATTTTTCCGGGAGAAAAGGTGGGTCTTTATAGATCAGCCGAACGGGAACGAAATTGTAAACCAAAAACCACCTTCATCTATAGGGGAGGACATCTTCAGCTGGCCTATGAATAGGACCACCTTCAGCTGGCCTATGAATAGGACCACCTTCAGCTGGCCTATGAATAGGACCACCTTCAGCTGGCCTATGAATAGGACCACCTTCAGCTGGCCTATGAATAGGACCACCTTCAGCTGGCTTATGTATAGGACCACCTTCAACTGGCCTATGAATAGGACCACCTTCAGCTGGCCTATGAATAGGACCACCTTCAGCTGGCCTATGAATAGGACCACCTTCAGCTGGCCTATGAATAGGACCACCTTCAGCTGGCCTATGAATAGGACCACCTTCAGCTGGCCTATGAATAGGACCACCTTCAGCTGGCCTATGAATAGGACCACCTTCAGCTGGCCTATGAATAGGACCACCTTCAGCTGGCCTATGAATAGGACCACCTTCAGCTGGCCTATGAATAGGACCACCTTCAGCTGGCTATGAATAGGACCACCTTCAGCTGGCCTATGAATAGGACCACCTTCAGCTGGCCTATGAATAGGACCACCTTCAGCTGGCCTATGAATAGGACCACCTTCAGCTGGCCTATGAATAGGACCACCTTCAGCTGGCCTATGAATAGGACCACCTTCAGCTGGCCTATGAATAGGATCACCTTCAGCTGGCCTATGAACAGGACCACCTTCAGCTGGTCTATGGAAGTGCTCTTTATGGGCCTTTAAAATTTCCTCCCAAAAAACCTGTTGAATATAGAACCTCTGTAGATTTTTTTTCAATCTAAAAAACCCGCTTTTCTGTTTACCGAGGACCTCTTGAGGATCCTCCCCTAGAAACTAAAATAAGGCCAACTCACACTCGATTCTCCATATACTGCAATTGTTCCAGAACATTGATCGCAATCAATACACAAATATAGATCAGCATCAGGAATCCCGTCATTACATTACCAGCTATTCCATCGTCCTTTTCCATTTGAATCATAACCTCCAAATCTGGCAAATGGCTAACATCGTTAAAGGTAATACGTTTTTCACGTTTCGAATGCCATAATTTCAGAAATATTACTTGCAGATAGAGGATCGTGAATATTAGCAGGAATATAGAAATCACAGCCGATACTGCTACCGATGTTAATATTTGACTAAAAAGAAAAAAGGTAACCTCAAATTCCGATTTTTTTGTGGTTTGATTTCTATTCAAATTACCTTTCTTTATATTTTTCCAGATATTCATATCCCGATTCCGAAGACCATGGAGTCAACATGCCACCAATATTGGCGGCAAAGCCAATTCCAATATAAAATGCATTTCCGACCTTGGAGGGATAGGTGGGAGCGCTGTGAGGAAAAGAATGAGGATGGATGGGTGTCTTGGAAATTAATTATAATAGAGGAGGTCAAGGAGATCGATTTGGAGGGCAGTAGGTTGGCGTCTCTTGATCAGCTGAAGGTGGTCCTGTACATAGGCCAGCTGAAGGTGGTCCTGTTCATAGGCGAGCTGAAGGTGGTTCTGTTCATAGGCCAGCTGAGGGAGGTTTTGTTCAAGACCAGCTGAAGGTGTTTCTGTTCATAGGCCAGCTGAAGGTGGTCTTGCTGATAGATCAGCTGAAGGTGGTCTTGTTCAAGACAAGCTGAAGGTGGTCCTATTCATAGGCCAGCTTGAGGTGATCGTATTCTTAGGCCAGCTAAAGGTGGTCCTATTCATAGGCCAGCTAAAGGTGGTCCCATTCATAGGCCAGCTAAAGGTGGTTCTATTCATAGGCCAGCTAAAGGTGGTTCTATTCATAGGCCACCTGAATGTGGTCCTATTCATAGGCCAGCTGAATGTGGTCTTGTACAGCTGGAGGTGGTCCTGGTCAGACGCCAGCTGAAGCTGGTCTTGTTCATATGCCAGCTAAAGGTGGTCCTATTCATAGGCCAGCTAAAGCTGGTCCTATTCAGCTAAAGGTGGTCCTATTCATAAGCCAGCTGAAGGTGGTCCTATTCATAGGCCAGCTGATGGTGGTCCTATTCATAGGCCAGCTGAAGGTGGTCCTATTCATAGGCCAGCTGAAGGTGGTCCTATTCATAGGCCAGCTGAAGGTGGTCCTATTCATAGGCCAGCTGAAGGTGGTCCTATTCATAGGCCAGCTGAAGGTGGTCCTATTCATAGGCCAACTGAAGGTGGTCCTATTCATAGGCCAGCTGAAGGTGGTCCTATTCATAGGCCAGCTGAAGGTGGTACTATTTATAGGCCAGCTGAAGGTGGTCCTGTTCATAGGCCAGCTGAAGGTGGTCCTGTTCATAGGCCAGCTGAAGGTGGTCCTATTCATAGGCCAGCTAAAGGTGGTCCTATTCATAGGCCAGCTAAAGGTGGTCCTATTCATAGGCCAGCTAAAGGTGGTCCTATTCACAGGCCAGCTGAAGGTGGTCCTATTCATAGGCCAGCTGAAGGTGGTCCTATTCATAGGCCAGCTGAAGGTGGTCCTATTCATAGGCCAGCTGAAGGTGGTCCTATTCATAGGCCAGCTGAAGGTGGTCCTATTCATAGGCCAGCTGAAGGTGGTCCTATTTATAGGCCAGCTGAAGGTGGTCCTATTCATAGGCCAGCTGAAGGTGGTCCTATTCATAGGCCAGCTGAAGGTGGTCCTATTCATAGGCCAGCTGAAGGTGGTCCTATTCATAGGCCAGCTGAAGGTGGTCCTATTCATAGGCCAGCTGAAGGTGGTCCTATTCATAGGTCAGCTGAAGGTGGTCCTATTCATAGGCCAGCTGAAGGTGGTCCTATTCATAGGCCAGCTGAAGGTGGTCCTATTCATAGGCCAGCTGAAGGTGGTCCTATTTATAGGCCAGCTGAAGGTGGTCCTATTCATAGGCCAGCTGAAGATGGTCTCTATTTTAGGCCAACTGAAGATGGTCTCTCTTTTAGCTTAGTTGAAGGTGGTCTCTGAAGTTGGACCAGGAACCACCTTCATATTGCAATAAACCACCTCCACCTAGCTAATAAACGAAACCACCTTCAGCTGGTGTTATAGGGCCTCATTCACCTAACGAAATCTCCCAGAGATTTTCGACATACTTACCCTTCATCCATTTCCTCCACATTGCTGTCCTCCACTACCTTACACACTCCCAGTTCATCGAAGATTGCTAATGAAGCTCGACCAATTGGTATCATTAGCGAGCAGGCACAAGCATTCGGTATCAGGGCGGACAAAATAAATGTAAGAATCATCAACAGGGTTAGAATCCTAAAAAGGGACACTTTTAGTCCGTGCGAAATTATATTTGAGAAGTTCATACCTCGCCGGATTCACCCCAAAAATTTTCAACAACCTTAGGGCAATACAACGATCCAATTTATTTGTGACCATTGCAATGGCCAGGAAGCAGGAGAGTACAAAAACCATTTGACTATCCTGGGTATAGGACATGCAGACCTCTGTGGAAGACTGCGGAGGAGGAGAGACATTTATGAAATTGAAATCCCAAGATACAAAATATCGATATTCCTACCATTACACCAAACAGTGGATACAAAATAAGCGGCATTACGGCTGTGACACCTGGCGGAATTATATCGACAGCATACCAGAGAATTGATAACAGCATAATATAGATGGTTCGATGTACCTAACCGAGGATACACTATGTTGTTTATGGGTCTCACAAGATGTTCGTAGATATATTCTTACCACTAACGGTTCCCTAAACACCAATGGAAGCAATACCAAGGGGGATAGGATATTGAAAAGGCCATTTTGATGAATCCGCCCACAGGCGTAAAGACGCTGTCCCAATTTTGGATTTCTAAAGAGGATGGTTTTTGTGAAGGACGTTCGGAAAAAACCTGCGAATACTTACTCCTCCATTTGGAAAGAAAAATAATTTCAAATGTTGATGGTACGGATATATTTTTTTTTTGAGGTTAGGGGGAACAAATATGACTTATTTTGGGAGACATATTTTTCAATGGGGACTGATTTGGGAAAAAAATATATGTTTTGTTCTGTTATGTCCGATATGTATTCCGCTTCAGTACTGCCCAACGCTGTCGTTGTTTGTTTCTTTGATTCCCACGATATTACGGATCTACCAAGATAAAACACAAATCCGTAGTAAGATTTCCGATCCGTAGCACATCCACCCCATCTGCATCTGCATATCCCATACTTTTTCCATTGCCAGTTCCAACATCTTTCTCTCAAACACCCCAAGAGCTGCCTCATCTGCTTGCGTAAGTACCCATGCTTCTGATCCATATAATAGCACGGGTAGTATCAGTGTCTTGTAAAGTGTGAGTTTGGTCTGGCGGGAGGTGGCCTTGTTTCTAAACTGCTTACTTAGACCATAGTAGCATCTGTTGGCCATCACAATCCTTCTCCGAATTTCAAAACTGATGTCATTCGTTTTATTTATGGCGGTACCAAGGTATATAAAATCTTTGACTACCTCGAAGCTGTAGTTCTCAAGTTCCACCGTTGGTCCGAGTCTACTGGACGTCTTGCGCGTTGATACCATCAGCTTGGTCTTCTCGCCGTTTACTGCCAAACCCACTTTGTCAGGCTCCTTTTCAATTTGTTCAAAGGTGGCTGTTACCGCTCTCAATGTTCGACCCATTATGTCGATGTGATCGGCTTAGGCGAGTAACTGGTGTTGTTTGGTATACAGAGTGCATTTTTCTGTTCACTTTTGCCTCTCGTATGACCTTTTCCAGCAGGATGTTAAAAAGGTCACACGACAAACTATCACCTTGTCTGAATCCTCGTTCGGTATTAAAGGTATCCGAAAGGTCCTTTCCGACTTTTAATGCTGATCTTATGCCTGTTAAAGCTATCCTGCATAGTCGAATTAGTTTTTCAAGAATGCCAAACGCAGACGTGGCTTTATACACCTCTGAACGGATAGGGCTGTCGAATGTGGCTTTATAGTCGACGAATAGGTGGAATGTGTCCATGTGTTTTTCGTGGGGGTTTTCCAGGATTTGGCGCAGAGCGAAAATCTGGTCAATAGTGGATTTGTCAGGTCTGAAGCCGCATTGGTATGGTACAATGATGTCAGTGACCATTGGCTTCAGTCGTTCACACAGTACGCTGGATATGCGATGGGAAGGAGACTTATTCCTCTATAGTTGGTACATATCGTCTTGTCCAATCATTGGGCATGCATTCTTCAAGTCAAATTGTACTAATCAGCTGGTGCATGCTCCTTACCAGCATCTGACCACCAGTCTTGAATAGTTCGGCTTGTAATCCATCGGCACCTGCTGCTTAATTATTCTTCAGTCGATTGATTGCTATTCCGACTTCATCTTGGCTAGGTGGTAAACATTCTATACCGTCATCTATTATTGGTTCTGGGGTATCCTCTTCAGCATCCTCAGCAAGCTGTCTGTATCTGTCACCAGGTTTCCTTCTTCATCTCTACAGGTGGATGTGCCTGTTTCCTTCTTCATCTCTACAGGAGGATGTGCCTGCACCAAAGCCTTCGGTTTGGTGTTTTACCCGTTGGTAAAATTTCCGGACTTCATTCTGACTCCTGTACGTCTCGATTTGCTCACGCTCACGTTTTTTCCTGTTCTTTCTTCTTTTTTCTGAAAACACGTTTCTCCTCTCCCCTTTTCTCCCGATAATTCTCCACCACGTTACGTGTTGCTACTGTCTGCAGGGTTGTCCTATATGCTGCGTTTTCCACGTCAGTAGCATTACGACACTCCTGATCGTACCACGGATTTCTTGATGGTGGTCTTTGGTACCCAAGTGTTGATTTTGCTGCAGTTTGTAGGGAGTGGGCAATTCTTTGCCATTGTGCTTCTATGCTATTATCGGAACAAGAAGTGCTTTCTTCAAGCAAGTGGGTAAGTTGAGTGGAGTAGGCCTCGGCTACCTGTTGTTTGCAGATTTTCGACGTCGAGTTTCCATGTTATGTTAGATCGCACCTTTGCTTGCTACATTAAGACGGGTACGTACCTCGGCTGCCACAAGGTAATGGTCTGAATCGATATTCGCATCTCGGTTCAATCGGACGTCTAAAACACTAGATGAATGCCTTCCGTCTATCACAACATGATCAATTTGATTTCTCGTTGCTTGATCAGGAGAGATCCAGGTGGCCTTGTGTATATCGAGATGCTTGAATCTGGTGCTGCTAACTACCATGCTTTTTGCTGCCGCGAAGTTAATCAACTTCATGCCGTTGTCGGATGTTTCTTCATGAAGGCTGAATTTTCCGACGGTGGGGTCAAATATATTTTCCCTTTCGATTTTTGCATTAAAATCTCCTAGCAGAATTTTAATGTCATGGCCAGGGCAACGGTCATACGCTGTTTCTAGACGCTCGTAAAATATGTCTTTGGTCTGTTCATCTTTATCTTCGATCGGAGCATGGGCACAAATGAGACTGATGTAGAAGAACTTCGCTTTTATACGGATTATAGCAATTCAGCAATATTCATCTACTGGAGTGAATCTGGAGACGAGGTCTTTTATTCTCCTGTTAATCATAAATCCGCAGCCAAATTCATGTCTCGTTTCATGGCAGCTATAATACAGTGTGTAATCATCTGATTTACTTACGCCAGTCCCTTTCCACCGCATTTCCTGTAAGGCATTAATATCAGCTTTGTACTACTTGAGTACATCCGCCAAAGCGAACACTGCGCCTGTTCTGTACAACGTGCCCACATTCCAAGTGCAAATTCGCAGATCGTGGTCCTTTATACGTTTGCGGGTGTCGTCAACATTAGGGAATTTTGGTTTTCTTTTTCTATGCTTTTTCGCAGGTGGTTGGGTTTTCCGAGAGTGGGTAACTAACCCGACGCCTCAACCCATTTTTTTATAGTTCTTATGGGTGAACTCGCGGCACATATTAGCTCACTATTTCATCGGGTGATGAAAATATCTCCCCATGTGGCACCGCGGGGAGGTCAGTGTCCACAATTGAGATGAAAGAGGGACCAAGATAGGCCTGGACTTCGCCATGTTAAAGCCAATCAGAGCCGTTGCTTGGTATCTATCATCCTCTACGCCACCCGTGCACAAAAAAGGAGACATGACGATATGTGCCAACTATAGAGGAATAAGTCTCCTTCCCATCGCATATAAAGTGCTATCCAGTGTGTTGTGTGAACGATTGAATCCAATGGTCAATGACATCATTGGACCATACCAATGCGGCTTCAGACCTGGCAAATCCACCATTGATCATATTTTCACTCTGCGCCAAATCCTGGAAAATACCCACGAAAAACACATCGATACATTCCACCTATTTGTCGACTATAAAGCCGCATTCGACAGCCTTATCCGTTCAGAGGTGCTTAAAGCCATGTCTACGTTCGGCATTCCTGCAAAATTAATACGGCTATGCAGTTTAACTTTAACAGGCACAAGATCAGCAGTTAAAGTCGGAAAGGACCTCTCGAAGCCCTTTAATACCGAACGAGGAATCAGACAAGGCGACAGTTTGTCTTGTGATCTTTTTAACATCCTGCTGGAAAAGGTCATAGGAGAGGCAAAAGTGAACAGAAATGACACTCTGTACACCAAACAATACATGTTACTCGCCTACGCCGATGACATCGATATAATGGGTCGAACATTGAGAGCGGTAACAGCCACCTTTTAACAAATTGAGAAGGAGTCTGCTAAAGTGGGTCTGGCAGTAAACGGCGAGAAGACCATGTTGATGGTATCATCGCGCAAGACGTCCAGTAGACTCGGACCAACTGTGGAACTACAACATCGAGGTAGTTAAAGATTTCATATACCTTGGTACCGCCATAAATAAAACGAATGACATCAGTTTTGAAATTCGGAGAAGAATAGTGATGGCCAACCGATGCTACTATGGTCTGAGCAAACAACTCAAATGCATGGCCACCTCCCGCCAGACCAAACTCACACTGTACAAGACGCTAATACTATCCCTGCTGTTATATGGATCTGAAGCATGGGTACTTACGCAAGCAGATGAGGCAGCTCTTGGTGTGTTTGAGAGAAAAAACCTCTGACATATCTATGGGCCGATCTGCGTGGACGGTGAACATCGCCATCGAAAGAACCATGAGTTGTACCAGCTATTCTCGCACATCGACATTGTTAGACGTATTGAGCTGCAGCGAATACGTTGGCAGGTCATGTTGTGAGAATGGATGAAGATGCCCCAGCCCAGAAGGCATATAAAAGCGAACCAGCTGATGGTTCATGCAGAAGGGAAAGGCCACGAATAAGATGGAAAAACCAACATTGCCGAATATGGTCTTTCAAATTGGAAAAACTGCGCAAACGACCGACGCGCCTGAAAATCTTCTCTATGCTCGGCTTATGGAACGAAAGTTCTGTCACAAGCCAGCTAAGCAAGTAAGTATGTTTACAAGACATTTTTTAAAGGTCCTTCCTTAGGTGCGGATTTTTTAAAAAATATTTCTGAAATAAAACACATTTGTATCCTGTGATCTATGGTGCATTCTATTATTTAAACCTCTACATCTACAAAGGTGCCCTAAGGTGGTGAATTCAAAATTGAAGGCTGCAGGTTAAGAATATCCTTATATTTCCTTGATGGCTCCAAGTAGCGTTATAAAAGAAAAGGCTGTCTTGAAAATCTGCAAGAGAATCAAAATAAAATTTTAGATACTTATTTTAAGGTGCTGATAAATGGACCCACAAAAACCAACAAATTTCGATTGATAATAAAATACAAGCCCGTCAACGAAGTCTCCTTTTGGGTCCTTAACAGTGGTAGCAGCATCAGCTTCTTTTCCGATGGATACATTTTCTCCCAGGGCATTGCCATATAGATGTCATCGCAAAGCATGTCGTTCTGCGGAATCGAATTAAACAGAAATTAAACTCAAAATTAATTTTCAGAACTTCGATTTTTGATCCTCCCTCCTCACCTCATTTTTCAATTTCTCCCCCCCAAAACAATAGATCATCAGCTGCATTGTTATGGCCGCCGAGGCAACAAAATGAAATGGTATATTGGCGAAGTTCTCATCATTCGCCAGCGAATAGAGTAGAAAACATATCTGCAGACAGCTCATCGATATTTCACCCCAAAGAATTTCACCATAGAGGCGATTTAAATCTTCAACAAATTTCAATGTACGATTGTGATAGCTAACGAAGGCGGCAACGTCTCGCACAAAATCCCTATGATTATCGTGGATATCGATTTTGGCAGCAGCCTCTTTGATTTTATTTCGCAATATACGAAAATGTCCCGATATGGCAAAAATATACCAACCGAATAGGGTATCAATGCCGACGGACATATTTAGCCAGGCATGGACCAGCAGTAGGGTACACATGTAATTTAGTATGGACATGAGCAAACCACCACCATGATCGAAGGGGAATCTGAAAAGGGGAGAGGGAAAAAATTAAAAAAAAATCGAACTGATTTTTTTAAACCCCCCACCTTAGGGTGGACCTAAAAAAATATTTTTAAAAAATCCTTACCATGCACCAAAAAAAAAAATATTTCTAAAAAATCCCAACCTGGGATGGTCCCAGGGTGGGATTTAAAAAAATTCCCAACTTACTCCACCTGAAATGGCAATCTTAGATTAACACCCATCCCCTGAAAATATTCATAGAGTAGAAAAATCCAGGGTATAACAGCAACACAGGTCACGGCAGCCCAACAGGCATAGAAATAGCCCAAGGCAATTAATCTACCATTCCGATTTTCCGATAGCCATTTTTCATATTCCATGGCATTGGCTGGAAGAAAACAGAAAACAACCACAAAATTTTTGGAAATAAAATATCCTCCGCCTCCCTCCCTTCATTCCGTCATACTCACCACCCCGGCTTAGAATATTCATATCCCATATTAATTTCAACATCTCTTCACCCTTTAGGATAATAAGCGAAACTTTAAAGGTCAACAAGATACCCTGATTAAACATGGACAACGAGGCTGTGATCGCATCAATATCCGTAATGCTATTTATGACGAAATTTCCGAATCCATATTGCATATAAAATGTACACAACATATTGAAGGCGAATTTCCAAACGGACTTCAGTAATCCCCGGCGTCGTCCCGTTGTTACACCAATATCCAAACCTAAGGCCATAAAGGCCCCATACTGCACACTTAAATATTCCAAATTTTGTCTATCCGCCATGGACATTTTTAGGTCACTTCAGTTGGGAATTTAAAATACAACTCAAATGCCTGCTTGGCATTCGTACGCATATTTATTTTCAGGATAATTTCGATTATTTAAGAATTCATATTCAAATTATTTGGATAATTGGTTTGTTGTTGTTGTTGCATTACCGATGTTACCTAATTTGCACCTGCAAAATTAATTGCTTTTCGCACATGGCGAAAATTATCGAGAAAATGGACAATTAAATTTTAAAAAAATTAAGGGTTGTTTAAAAATATTTATTCAGGGTCCATCAAATTTCAGGGTTTCCAGATTGAAGTTCTGAAAATGAATTTGAGTAGAGTAGATGACCCAAGGGTCCTTAACTGAGAAGTAAATTACCTCAGAGACCTCTACTGTAGAGTTACTAGATACGGAGGCCTCTAGTGTAGAGTAGCTGAAACCTACTTTACAGTAGTAAAAGGCTTCTACTCCAGAACAGCTAATGTCAGAGGCCCTCTAGTTTCCTGTAGCTGGCATCAGCGGCTTCTACGGTTGAGTAAATGGCACCAGAGTCCTTAATTGAGAAAATAAATTACCTCAGAGACCTCTACTGTAGAGTTACTAGATACGGAGGCCTCTAGTGTTGAGATGATGGCGTCTACTTTACCGTAGGCCCTCTACTTTCCTGTAGCTGGCATCAGAGGCTTCTACGGTTGAGTAAATGGCACCAGAGTCCTTAATTGAGAAAATAAATTACCTCAAAGACCTCTACTGTAGAGTTACTAGATACGGAGGCCTCTAGTGTTGAGATGATGGCGTCTACTTTACCGTAGGCCCTCTACTTTCCTGTAGCTGGCATCAGAAGCTTCTACGGTTGAGTAAATGGCACCAGAGGCATTAATTGAGAAAATAAATTACCTCAGAGACCTCTACTGTAGAGTTACTAGATACGGAGGCTTCTAGTGCAGAGTAGCTCAACCCTACTTTACAGTGGTCAAAGGCCTCTACTCTAGAACAGCTAATCTCAAAGGCCATCTAGTATCCTGTAGCTGGCATCAGAGGCTTCTACGGTTGAGTAAATTGCACCAGAGTCCTTAATTGAGAAGTAAATTACCTCAGGGACCTCTACTGTAGAGTTACTAGATACGGAGGTCTCCAGTGTAGAGTAGCTGAACCCTACTTTACAGTAGTCAAAGGTCGCTACTCTAGAACAGCTAATCTCAGAGGCCCTCTAGTTTCCTGTAGCTGACATCAGAGGCTTCTACGGTTGAGTAAATGGCACCAGAGTCCTTTATTGAGAAGTAAATTACCTCATAGGCCTTTACTGTAGAGTTACCAGATACGAAGACCTCTAGTGTAGAGTAGCTGAACCATACTTTACAGTAGTCAAAGGCCTCTACTCTGGAACAGCTAATCTCAGAGGCCCTCTACTTTCCTGTAGCTGACATCAGAGGCTTCTACGGTTGAGTAAATGGCACCAGAGGCATTAATTGAGAAAATAAATTACCTCAAAGACCTCTACTGTAGAGTTACTAGATACGGAGGCCTCTAGTGTTGAGATGATGGCGTCTATTTTACCGTAGGCCCTCTAGTTTCCTGTAGCTGGCATCAGCGGCTTCTACGGTTGAGTAAATGCCAGCAGAGTCCTTAATTGAGAAGTAAATTACCTCAAAGACCTCTACTGAAAAGGGGAGAGGAAAAAAACTTAAACAAAATCGAACTGATTTTTTTAAACTTCCCACCTTAGGGTGGACCTTAAAAAAATATTTTTAAAAAATCCTTACCATGGACCAAAAAAATATTTCTAAAAAAAGGTCTCTAGTGTTGAAATGATGGCGTCTACTTTACCGTAGTTGTCATCAGAGTCATGTACTGTAGAGTAGCTGGCCTCAAAGGTCTCTGCATAAGAGTAGCTGATCTTAGAGAGCAAATCATTTGATTTCTTGCCCTCTACATTACGGCAGCTTGAGGACTCTGTCTAAAGACCCGATTCTATGCCTGGCGACTCTGTGTCAAAGCCCGATTCTATGCCTAGCGACCTTCACCCAAGAAGACGATGACTTCAGGTCTGGCTGACCCATCTACCTCATATGCGGCTATCGCTGGACAACAAACGATGGAGAAAAAACCTAGTACAGAGATGGCATCAACCTCCTCTGGAAAAGCAAACTCCTAGGTTCGTAGCCAGAGACAGCGTAAGCAGACCGACCAAGGTAGCTGCTGACGAGTACCTTCAAGTGGCAATCATTGACCAATCTGATCCTCATGGCAGGATTGGTGATAGTCATTGGTTGCTCTTTGATGGAGCCCTTTGGTCGGCTATCGTCTGTGGGTCCAGGACCAGGGGAATCGTCTGTTTGGCAGTGCCTTCATGCAGAAGGGTGCCAAAATCATCAACTGATTGAACAGTAAATATAAAGTTTTCCTCGTGACAGCTGTTGGCGGCTTTGGTGCACTCTGGGAAGGAGCCAACCTTGCTGCGGTCTCCCTATACGAGATCCCAAACACACGGGTCCCCTCCTTCAGTGGACAAGGAACTGCTGCTGAAAATGTTGGCGCTGCAAAATCCCAGCCTCACTACATCGAGCTGGACTGTTGTCAGTCTAGCTCCTTGTAACGAGGATGGAGGGAGGGATGGTCGCAAGGGTAGCAGTTGAGCCACCGGGGGAGGCATATCTCAGGGAGCGTGAGGGAATATTGAACTTCGGTTCAGGATGGGTTCGGTTTCGACTGAACACATCCACCAAAACGCAATAGGAGTAGGAATGCGGCAAGGCTGCGCATTCTGCAGATTAATCTGCATTATTGCAAGGCCGCAGGCGCCGAACTTCTCCTGTCCCTCACTAACTCTGAAGTGGATATCGCCTTGGTTCAGGAACCATATATTTATAAAAAAATGTTTTTGGATTAAGGAATCCCAACTTCGACATATTCGCCGCGTCCATGGGGGACAAAGTAAGGACCTGTATAGTAGAGACCACAGATGTCGATAATGTAAACTAGTTGATCTCAGTAGCCGCGACTGTGGATAACATGGCCTTAGGGGTACTTATTGAAGTATACTTGAACTCAGAGCAGTAGATAACTTTGCTTTTACTTGACAGTAGATATCCACAAAGTCTTTTATTCGGGTGGTGCTTGTTTCAGGAGCCTTAGCATTACTGTAGATTGCATTAAAGGCTTCAGCGTTAGAGCACCATAGTCCATAATTGTAGACTAAATAAACTCAGAGGCCTCTAGTGTTGAGTTGTTGGCCTCTACTTTACAGTAATAGACTTCAAAGTCGCCTACTGTAAGGTAGCTGGCCTCTGCTCTTAGCTTCGCTGTTCTCAGAGCTCCCTTTTGTTGAATTGTAAAGTAAATTCACCTCAGAGGTCATGACTGTAGAGTAGATAGCCGTAGGAACAACTATTGAAGTGTCTAGTTCAGATGTAGATATTCCGGCTTTTACTCTGCAATAACTGGTCTGTACTCACCATGTCTCTACTGAAGCGTAGATGACCTTAGAGATCCCTATTCGAGTGTATTCGCGTGTATTCCCAATTGCATATTAACTATGCTCTACATTACAGTAATTATCTCCAGATGCAGCTACTCTAGAGTAGTTGGCCACAGATATTCTACTGTTGAGTTACTTGCCCTTACAGTAGAATAGCTAATCTGAAGGCTACTATTGGAGTGTATGTGCCCTCAACTATAGAATTGCTGGACTATACTTTACAGTAGCCAAGCTCAGAGGCCCCAGTTATAGTGTAGTTATCTTGAACACATGGTTCCTTTTGAGAATATGCATAGAATCACTTTCTAAGTCGATCTATGCATGTCCGTCCGACCGTACAAAGTACAGGTCTCATTTATAATCCAAATTGGATGAAATTTGGCACAGGTCACTTATTCGGCCCAAGGATGAACCCTATTGAAATTGGGAAAAAATCGTTTCAGATTTAGATATAGCTCCCATATATAGTTTCGTCCGATTTAAGGTAAAGGTGCACCAAAGTACCTAAATATCTTTCAATTTGCCCGAAATTTGGCATAGCGAACTGAATAAGGTCTAGAATGATGTGAGTTAAGTTTCGTGAAAATCGGTCCAGATTTCGATATAGCTCCCATATATATTTTCATCCGATTTAATGTAAATGGTGTACCAAAGTCCCTATATATCTTCCGATTTGCACGATATTTGGCATAGCGAACTGAATTAGGTCTAGAATGATGGGTGATAAGTTTCGGGAAAATCGGTTCAGATTTAGATATAGCTCCCATATATATTTTCGTCCGATTTTAGGTAAATAGTGCACCAAAGTCCCTATATATCGTTCGATTTGCACGAAATTTGGCATAGCGTACTGAATTGAGTCTAGAATGGTTTGTATTAAGTTTCGTGAAAATCGGTCCAGATTTCGATATAGCTCCCATATATATTTTCGTCCGACTTTAGGTAAATAGTGTACCAAAGTTCCTATATATCCATCGATTTGCACGAAACTTGGTGTAGCGTAATAAATTGAGTCTAGAATGATGTGTGCAAAGTTTCGTGGAAATCGGTTCAGATTTAGACATAGCTCCCATATATAGATTCGTCCGATTCGAGGTAAATGGTGCACCAAAGCCCCTATATATCCTTCGATTTACACGAAATTTGGCATATCGTACTGAATAAAGTCTAGAATGATGAGTGATAAGTTTCGTGGAAATCGGTTCAGATTTAGATATAGCTGTCATATATATTTTTGTCCGATTTTAGGTAAATAGTGCACCAAAGTCCCTATAAATCTCCCCTTAGCACGAAATTTGGCTTAGCGTACTGAATAAAGTCTAGAATGATGCTTGGTAAGTTTCGTGAAAAGCAGTTCAGATTTATATATAGTTTCGTCCGATTTGAGGTAAACAGTTCACCAAAGTCCCTATATATCCTTCGATTTGCACAAAATTTGGCATAGCGTACTGAATAAAGTCTAGAATGACGAGTGATAAGTTTCGTGGAAATCGGTTCAGATTTAGATATAGCTCCCATATATATTTTCGTCCGACTT